TTTTTTTAATGCATAAACAAGAGAAAATAACAAAGTTAAGAGTTTTAGTATTATCAATAATAACAAATATGCAAATAGCATATATTCAGTTGCTATTGTTGTTATTATTATAATATTAACATGTTATGTTTAGTTTATGGGGTTTTGGTCGTCGTACTATTCTCTTAATGGCTTAAAGTTAGTTCTTATTAGTAAAAATCATTTTGGCATAAAACTAATTATATTGTATATATATACTGTAATTTATATGTTTATGTGTGTATGTGTGTGTGTGGGAGGGGGGGGGGGGGTTTGCATTTGTATATGTTTACATAACAGTTCACAAAACATCGATATTTGTGTGTGTGTGTGTGTGTTCAGTGTTATTTTCAGATTTAACAAAATATGCAAATTGATGTAAGAAATGGAAATTTGGAGAGGGTATCATAGGGAATTATTATTGAAATATCGTAAAAATTTTATGCACAATATGGAAATATTGTAATAATTTTGTGAACAATGTCGATGTATCGTAAAAAGGTAATCCACAATAGCGAAACATAATATAGGTGTTATTTCCAATATCGTAATTATATTTTTTACCAGTATTGTAATATTGTCAACGTGTTATTCATGAAGTTGAAATATCGTAAACAAATTATCCAGTCTATTTGGAAATCATAAATATTGCATTCGAGTTATTAAATTTGCCGAAAGTTATATGCTGTGTGGAAATATCGTAATTTTTGGTTATCCACCACATTGAAACATTATTAGCAAAATATCGTAAAGATATAATCAAAGATATTTAATTGTCGTAAATTGTTATTAAAGACACTTGAATGCGATACGTAATATATTAATGTCATTATCTCGGATATCGTAAATAGGTTATCCACGATACCTTAATACCGAGAAGAACTTATGCATCTGTTGAAATATCTTGAATATATTATCCACAATATCAAAATGTCTTAAATACTTTATCCATTATATCGATATGTTGTAAATATATTTTCCACGAGATTGAAGTATCGTAAGTTTCATTACGAACTTGCCCAGGCTGTCGGAAAATGTGTTATCCGAAAATGGATAATAAGTTACTTGTCTTATCCAAAAGTACATAATATGTTATCCACCTTACACAAACGTGGATATGTTATCCACGTTATATAAAGGTGGATAATATGTTATCCGCGTTTTCCAAAAGTGGATAATATGTTATCCACGTCATCCAAAAGTGGATAATAAGTTATCCAAAGGTGGATAATATGCTATCTTCGTTATCCAAAAGTGGATAATATGCTATCTTCGTTACCCAAAAGTGGATAATATGATATCCACATTATACAAAAGTGGATAATGTGATATCCACTTTATCCAAAAGGAGATATGTTATCCTCGTTATCCAAAAGTGGATAATATGTATTTTATCCACATTATCCAAAAATGGATAGTATATTATCCGTACGTGGAAAATATGTTATCCACATTATCCAAAAGTGGATAATATGTTATTCACTTTACACAAACGTGGATATGTTATCCGCGTTTTACAAAAGTGGATAATATTTTTTTCACGTTATCCAAAAGTGGAAAATATATTATCCTCGCTATCCAATAGTGGACAATATGTTATCCACGTTATCCAATAGTGGACAATATGTTATCCGCGTTATCCAAAAGTGGGTAATATTTTATCCACATCATCCAAAAGTGGATAATAAGTTATCAACATTATGCAAAAGTGGATAATATGATATCCACTTTAGCCAAAAGTGCATCCTCGTTATCAAAAAGTGGATAATATGTTATCCACGATATCCAAAATGGATAATATGATATTCACGTTATCCAAAAGTGGATAATATGTTATCCACGTAATCCAAAAGTGGATAATATGTTATCCATGTTATCCAAAAGTGGATAATATGTTTTCCACGTTATCTAAAGTGGATAATATGTTATCCACGATATCCAAAATGGATAATATGATATTCACGTTATCCAAAAGTGGATAATATGTTATCCACGTAATCCAAAAGTGGATAATATGTTATCCATGTTATCCAAAAGTGGATAATATGTTTTCCACGTTATCTAAAGTGGATAATATGTTATCCACATTACCCAAAAGTGGATAATAAATTATCCACGTTATCCAAATGTTGATAAAACGTTATCCACGTTTTCCAAAAGTGGAAAATTTGTTATCCACGTTTTCCAAAAGTGAAAAATTTGTTATCCACGTTATACAAAAGTGGATACAGTGTTGTCCATATTATTCAAAAGTGGATATGTTATCCGCGTTATCCAAAAGTGGTTAATATTTTATCCACGTTATCCAAAAGTGGATAATATGTTATCCACGTTATCCAAAAGTGGATAATATTTTATCCATGTTATCCAATAGTGGACAATATGTTATCCGCGTTATCCAAAAGTGGGTAATATTTTATCCACGTTATCCAAAAGTGGATAATATGTTATCCAAAAGTGGATAATATGTTATCCATGTTATCCAAAAGTGGAAAATATGTTTTCCACGTTATCCAAAGTGGATAATATGTAATCCACATTATCCAAAAGTGGATAATAAGTTATCCACATTATCCAAATGTTGATAAAACGTTATCCACGTTTTCCAAAAGTGGAAAATTTGTTATCCACTTTAGCCAAAAGTGCATAATATGTTATCCACGTTATCCGAAAGTGTATAATATGTTATCCGCATATGAAATATATTATCCACGTTATCCAAACATAGAAAATATGTTATCCACGTTATACATATGTGGAAAATATGAAATAAATTAAATTAAAATTATTTTGTCCACGTTATCCAAACCTAGAAAATATCATCCAAACATAGAAAAAATATTGTTGGTGCTATCGACGCAAAAAATATGTTATCCATATAGAAAATATTTTATCCACGTTATCCAATTGTGGAAAATATATTATCAAGTTATCCAATCATGGAAAATATATTTATCCACTTTTTTCAAACCTGGAAAATATAATTATCCACGTTATCCAATTTATTATCCACTTTATTCAGACCTGGAAAATACATTTATCCACGTCATTTAAACATCGAAAATATGTTATCCGCTTTATCCACAAAAAAAAAAATACTATATTCAAAATAAAATGCGTAGAATTTTGGGTTCGCGAATATTTGTTTAATGATCATGATTTTGGTTTTTATAAAAATATTCAGAACGTTTTTTAATATTGCTGAAATTTTAGCAAATTATTGTGGATATTTTATCGAAATACATATTTTATGAAAATATAGGGTTTTTAATTTATAAAAATTTTTAGAACCAATTTTTTCTGTTGCGGTTATTTAATTAAATTATGGTGGATATTGTATCGAATCAACTTGATTGTTTATAAAATGTTGTTTTTTCAATATCGATTTTTTTAGATATCTTAGATACTTTATCGTTTTTTATTCCAACATAAAGTAATCGATTTTTATCGAATCATTGTAATTACCTTCTCCAAATCCCCTTATATATTCGCTATATATTTTTTTTACTATAAAAGCCCTCTCTGATTATATATGATGATATTTTTACGATAAAAGCCATATTTGATTCTACGGTAATATCGTAAATTATCACAAAATTAAATCTAAGATTTGACTTACATCAATTTGCATTTTATCTCGGATCTCCAAACAACACGGTCTCATGTTATTTCCTTGTCATGTTGGGGAAAACATTTTCATTACATTTACTTTGTGTGAACGGATAAACAACGGCAACGACAACAATAACAATAAGTAAAACAAAAACAACGGAACTTTTGTAAATTCCTTGAGCTTTCTAGGAAAATTTCAAATTACAAACAACAAACATCAGTTGTTTATGAAACCCAACACACACACACACGCACACCCGCAAAACGAGAGTGCATTTCTGTAATGTACATACATGTATAAGTATGTATGTAGGTATGTAGAGGGGGTTAAGTCATTTTAAGTGTTTGTGTAGATAGATATTTGTATGGATGTAAGTTGAAGATGGCAGACACAGATGTATTTATTAACAAATAGGAAGCATAGATGGATAGCAGAGAGCAGTTTAAAATAAGTTTTCCAAAAGGCAGTCAAATGAATATTAAATGAAGAAAGCACCATAAGGAACAACAAACAAAACACAGTCACAGGTATTTGCATTATGACGCATGTCAACACCATAAAAAATTAGTTTGAAATAATTTAAATTTAAAAAAAATATCCAAAGAAGCGCGGAAAATTTAAATGAAGGTGTTACAGGCTTTAGAAGTATATGTTATGAATATTGAAAATGTCCTTGCGTGAAAAACTTCCACTATAATACCCCTTGTATGATTTCAAAATAAGATTACATATATTTCTGAAATTCATATGGTGTAGGATTAAAAATACCAATAAAAAACTTACTTCTTTTCTACTTTTACACAAAGAATAGTAACAAACAAATAACAAAAATTAAGGAAATTGATGCACTAGAGCCCCGATTTGCGTTGCTTTTTAAATATTTCCCAAAAATATCAAATCTTAACTTTGTTTTAAATAATTTCTCCAATAAATTCAATTTACAAAAAATTGATTAAATTTCGTCGTGTTTTTTTTTTTGTGTCGACGCAAATTGAGGCTCTAGTGTACACTATATTGCCTACACAACAACAATACATTTAAAACACACAAAAAATAAAACAAAGTGTATTAATATATGGCAAGTGAACAGAGGTTCATTGGTCTTTGGTGTATCCCTCTTCTTCTCTTTCTTCTTCTTTTAAGTGTTATGGTAGTTGTGTTATTGTATTAAATTTTCTCTATGTTGTTTTTTTTTTGTTGCTATCCTTATCTAAGAAACACTTTTGCCTGTTCTCATTTTAACTTTGAATTTCTCTTCGATTATACATCCCTGTTCGGCCAATTTCTTTAATTTCAATGCCTTCTGTTCGCGTTTCTCACGCTTACGTATTTTCTTAATGCGTTTCAATAACTTAGCGTTTCTCTTTACTTTGTTCGGATTGTCATCGCAGTAGTCGAGCAGGGTTTCACAAAATGCACGTCCCATGTGTTCGTAGTCCTGCAACGAGATGGGGGAGGAATAATAATAAAAATAAGCAAAGTTCATTAATTAAGAAATGTATTGAACTAGAAAAACTTCGGAAGATAAAATTCATGTCCTCAGGAGCCCAAAAAAAAAAAAAAAACAATTCCGCCGGTGAGAGTAATCTACTACACTATAGGATACTAAGGTATCAGGCATCATTGTCCTTATATGAGATGACCCCAGGCGTCATCGTCTCTAAACGAGAAAATGACCCCAGGCGTCATTGTCTCTGTATGAGAAGATGGCCCAAGGCGTCATTGTCCCTATATGAGAAGATGACCCCAGGCGTCATCGTCTCTATACTCTGTACGAGAAGATGACCCCCCAAGGGTCATCATCTACTCTGTACGAGAAGATGACCCCCCAAGGGTCATCATCTACTCTGTACGAGAAGATGACCCCCCCAAGGGTCATCATCTACTCTGTACGAGAAGATGACCCCAGGCGTCATTGTCTTCTGACCCCCCCAAGGGTCATCATCTACTCTGTACGAGAAGATGATCCCCCAAGGGTCTTCATTTACTCTGTACGAGAAGATGATCCCCCAAGGGTACGAGAACATGACCTCTTAAGGGTCATCGTCTACTCTATAGGTAAAGAATGACTCCCTAGGGCCATCATCTACTCCATTGGAGAAGAATGACCGCCTTGGGTCATCATCTACTTTATGAGAGAAGGATGACCCTCTGGGGTCATCGTCTACTCTATAGGAGAAGGATTGCCCCTTAGGGTCATCGTCTACTCTATAGGAGAAGGATTGCCACCTGGGGTCATAGTATAATTTACAGCAGAAGGGTGACCCCTGGGGTTATTATCTACTCTTTGGAAGATAAATGACCCCTTAGGGTCATATATTCTATGAAGAAAAATTACCCCATTTACGTTATAGGAGATGACCCCAGATATTTTATAGGAGATTACCCCTAGGTCATATACTCCGTAGGAGATTACCTTTAGGGACATCTACGCTATAGGAGATGGCCCTTGAGGTCATATACTCTATAGGAGGTAACCCTTAGGTCATCTACTCTATAGAACAGGACCCCTTGGGTCATACTCTATGGTAGATGACCCCTTGTCTCATCTACCTTATGGAAGATGATTTACTCTGTTAAAAATCTCTCTGAGTTCGTCTACTTCGTAGAAATTGACCTCTGAGGGCATTTACTCTTTAGCAGATCACTTTATGATGCATGAAAACATATTTCTCATGGTAAATACCTCTTGGTTTGCCGCCTCCCCCTAAATTGTTTATCTTAGCTTACAGAATTTGAAGCTACCCAAACTTTGCTCTACAAGTTTGTAAATATTCTATAAAGGGATACAAATTGAATGTCCCTACATTAGACCAATTGAATTTTTTGGCAGGTTTCTTCAAGGAAAATAAGCCAACTGAGACTCGTTTGTCGATTTGGAAATTTCTAGACAGAAACTGATATGTAACCTAATAAAACACACACACACACAGGCACACACATTCAAACCTAAAATTACATATTGCTCCCAGATGGGTTCCTGCTGATAAATGCTTACGTTGGCATTTCTACGATGGTGATGCTGATGTCAAGATGTTGGTGGTCACTAGTAGAAGAAAATACGGCAATTCACCTTTCAAGATGATTTGAGAATAGTTTGCAAAAACCAACAACAACAGAAAAAAATACGAAAACCTGTTCTGGTAATTTTAAGCTGATTACAGAGACAGTCATATAACCACACACAGAGTTACATATGCTAACTATATTTGTGTGTGTGTGTGTGTATTTTTACTTTGAATGTGGTTAAGCTGAAATGTGATATGTTTGTCTGTCCCCCTTTTCTTTTCTCTCCCTCTCTCTGTCTCTCTCTCTCTCTCTCAGTTACGTCTGATTCTTTCGTTGCCAAGGTATAATTTTCATATCTTTCAACTGGCATTGCCGTTCAACATTATCCTTCTGCAGAACAATTATTTATGATTCAGTGTTGGTTTTTGTGTTGGAGACATATGTATGTGTGTATGTGTATGAATGAATTTGAGTGTGTCTGTGTGTGTGTGCGTGCATGCGTTGTTCACATTTAATCGCATTAAATTAAATTTGCAATGCATTTGTAAGTGCACACAAACACACCGGATATGTGCATGTGTGTTTGTATTAATGGTTTTTAAAGACGTTAAGTGCTTCTTTAAGCCATTAAAAATGAAAAAAAAATATATATATATTTAATCACTCAAAATGGCAAATTGTTAACAAATGACATGTTATTAAATTGGAAGAATATGCATCAGTTGAGTTTGATTGTTTGATTTTGGCATTAAATCACCTATTAAGTTCTACTTTTTGTAGAACTATAGGGTGAGATAAAAAACCGCCATAATTTTTACATTTTTTTTATTTATTTTTTTTTTTTTTTTGATGAAACCAAAAAATGTCGGAAATAGCATCAAATTTTAGAATAACTTTAGATTTGTTCAAATTGGTCACCTTTGGCACGAGTTCTGGCCTTCAAACGGCCAATAAAATTTTTTACATTTTTTTTATTTTTTTTTTTGGATGAAACCAAACAATGTCGGAAATAGCATCAAATTTTAGAATAACTTTAGATTTGTTCAAATTGGTCACCTTTGGCACGAGTTCTGGCCTTTAAATGGCCAATAAAATTTTTTACATTTTTTTTATTTTTTTTTTTTTGGATGAAATCAAAAAATATGGGAAATAGCATCAAATTTTAGAATAAGTTCAGATTTGTTCAAATTGGTCACCTTTGGCACGAATTATGGTCTTCAAACGGCCAATAAACGGCCGTCACTCGCTGCCCGAATGTTGGTCTGGGGTGTTTTGGTGCCATTCCCGGCGAAGCGCTTGCTTGAGGTGATCGACACTTTGGTGTCGAATATTTGCTTTCCAAAATACTCCAGACACAATAGTCCAAAGGACTGTTATCCGGTGATTTTGGTGGCCATTGTGCGCTGGAAAGAAAGCGAGGAACCTCATATTGTAACCATTCTTGGGTGGCGCGTGCTGAGTGCGATGGTGCTGAGTCCTGGTGGAATGTCCATGGTCTGCGGCCAAATTGTTTGCGTGCCCAAGACTTTAATACACCCTCCAGAATATTTTCGTTATAATATTTTGCATTTATTCTAATGCCACGCTCGATTAATAATAGGAGCGGAGAGCGACCCTTGGCTGTTATGGCGGCCCAGACCATCACCATGGCCGGCCCTTGAGTTCTGGTGGCCAACCGAAGGTGCAGATTTTCAGCTGACCTCTTTGGCAAGTAAACACGATTATTTTTTTTTTTTGTTTACAAACTGCTGGACAACGAATGTTTTCTCATTGGAGAAGACCAAATTCGACAGTTCACCACTTTCGGCCAAGCGAAGCAACTCTTTAGCTCTTTTGTGTCTATTTTGTTTCTGTTGCGGTGTAAGTTCTTGCACTTTTTGGAATTTCAATGGCCTGACCCCGAGCTCCTTTTTCAATATTTGTCGAATGGAATATTGCGATATGTTCAGCTCACGAGCCATTTTTCGGCCACTGCGACGCGGGTTTCAATTAAGTTGCTTCTTTACTTTTCGAACCATTTCGGCTGATGTTGCTGTTTTCTTCCGTCCACTTCCTTGACGTCTGGCTACGCTACCCGTATCATGGTAACGAGCGATGGTACGAGACACAAAAGCTTTATTCACATTTAAATGCTGGAGTGCTCTAACGATAGCCACTTGTGGTTTTCCAGCCAAATATAAAAAAAATCACACTATAACGCTTGAATTCCTTCATGAATAACTTTTTTCCTGGAAAATTCTCACCAAAATGCTTTTGTACGCTTGTAAACAATATAATTAGCTGTCACTGGAACAATTTTAACAGCTGTCGGGAGAGTGGCTTATAAATGATAGCAGTCTAAAGTTGGTTGTAGTTTTTTCATCTCACCCTCTCCTATTTTGACATTCAGAAAAAATTTTTTTTTTTTTGGGTATGGTAGACAATTTGTAGCTTTTCCATAGTTAGAAGACCCTCACTCTTGCTTTAGAGAAAAATCATCCATAGTCAGAATATGGTGTGATGAATTTTTATAAATAAAATCAAGCAACATAAAGTCCGCTTATTATATTGATATCAAGACAAAAAAATCAACATCAATGAGGGACATCATTGATAATGACAACCAGTAGCCTTCACAGCTGGAATACTTTACACAAAAACCCATATTAACCACATGAAATTATTATTGTTGTCGAATTGCTTGGCAGCTGTAAGTTGTTGATGTTGTTGTTAATATTCGTCCTGTGGTGATGATGGTGACAATGATGTTGTTTTTGTTTTTTTTTTTTTTTTTTTTTTTTTTGTTTGCCTTTTTTGGGATGCTCTCGTTAATGAAGATGTCAAAGAGAGAGATATTTCCATTTCCCGTTGTTTTTATGTGGTTTTCCTCAGTTGTTTTCACATTTCCTTTTTGTCATTATTGTGGCTATGGAGATGCATAAAAATCCATTAATATTAACTCGGTTATCACATGCTATCTGTGTGTGTGGAGAAATAATCGATAATGGATTTCTGTGTGGGTTTACAAGGGTGCATTTTTGCGTAATGTGGGAATTTTTTTATAACTTCCACCATACAAAGTATGGAGGGTAAATTAAGTTCGCCATTCGGTTTGTTACTCATCGAAACAATAATTTTAGACCCAACAAAGGATATATATTCTTAATCAGCGTTAAAAATTTTAAAACGATTTAGCCCTGTCCATCCGTCCGCCTGTTGTAATCACGCTCAAAACGAATTAAGATAGGAAGCCAAAAATTTTGCAAATGTCTGTCTTTTGTTTGCAGGCAAGTCAAGTTCGAAGATGGGCTATATCGGTCCATGATTATCGTATAGCCCCCATATAACGGTACCCCCCATATTCGGTATTTTGATTATTTTAGCCACATTTTTAAATGGAATTGTCGGAAATTATTCACAAGTAGTTCTTTTTGAGCACTTTACCCCCTGAAAGAGAATTGTCTATATAGGTCCGCGATATGATATAGCCCCATATAACGGTACCACCCGAATTCGGTATTTTGATGATTTTAGCCACATTTTTCAATGGAATTGTGAGAAGTTGTACAGAAGGCGTTTCTTGGGAGTACATTGCTCCCCACTCGTCCCTGGAAGATAATTATCTATATCGGCCCGTGAAATCGCATAGCCCACATATAACGGTACCCCCGATATTCGGTATTTTGTTGATTTTAGCCACATTTTTCAAGGGAATTGTCTGAAATTCTACAGAAGGAGTTCCTTGTATGTATATTTCACCCTGAAAGAGAATGGTCTATATGGGTACACGATGTCGTATAGGCCCCATATAACGGAATCTCCCGATATTCGATATTTTAATGATTTTAGCCACATTTTTCAACGGAATTGTCTGAAATCCTGCACAAGGAGTTCTTTGTGAGTACTTTACCGCCAGAAATAGATTTGTCTATATGGGTCCACAATATCGTATATCCCCCATATATCGGTATCTTCCCATATTCGGTATTTTTAAGATTTTAACAGAATTTTTAATTGATTTTATTTTTTTTTAAATTTCCTCCTATTCAAAGTTCGTTCCGGTCGAACTTACTGCTTTTTTACTTGTTATCAATTTTATAGAACACATTGCGACAAAATTAATTTTTTTCAATAGTTACAGGGAAAATGCAGCAGATTATGAAAAAAGAGTTAAAAATGGAAGACATGTGTATCGGCGTTTTATATATTTGCACCGCAAACTAATCGAAGTACAGGGAGCAAGTTTCCCTCTTCTACACTTCCGCAAATATCCGGATTAAGATTCCTCAGAATCCGTGCATTTTAGGTAGAGTCTTCGGAAATATTGCAGATAAAAATACAACGAATATCTTTGTCGAATATATTAACCCTCAGACAATTCGAAAAGGCGGTATTTTTGGTCCTTTTTTGAAAAAATGTTCAAAACGGAATCGGAGCAAGTCAAAATATCCTACAAATTTGTTTGTCATAGGTCCCAGAAGACGTCAAAAGTCTAAATCTCACTGAAACGCCACGAATTTAAATACATAAAAGGTGAGATAAAAAAACCGCAACAAAGTCAAACACCATAATGTTTACATTTTTCTTAAATGTTATTGAATGAAAGTAAAAAATTTCGGAAATAGCATCAAATTTTATAATAACTTTAGATTTGTTCGAATTCGAATAAAAAATGGCCAATGAAACCGTCACACGCTGCCCGAATGTAGTTTCCCGGCGAAGCGCTTGCTTGAGGTGATCGACACTTTGGTATTTTTTTTGTGACAACCTTGCTTTCCAAAATACTCCAGACACAATGGTCCATAGGATTGGTATCCGGAGATTTTGCGCTGGAAATGAAGCGAGGAACCTCATTTTGAAACCATTCATGGGTGGCGCGTGCTGAGGTTGATGGTGCTGAGTCCTGTTGGTATGTTTAAGGTCTACTGCCAAAATGTGCCCAAGGCTTTAATACACCCTTCAAAATATTTTCGCGAAAATATTCGAGATTTATTCTGATGCCACGGTCGATCAATACGAGTGGAGAGCGACCATCGGCTGCTATGGTGGCGCTTGTGTTCTGGTGACCAATGGAATTGGAATTTCAATGGTTTCACCCCGAGCTCATTTTTCAATATTTGCCGAATGGAATATTGCGATATGTTCAGATCTGCTGATGTTGCTGTTTTTTACCGTCCCCTTCCTTGACGTCGGGCTACGCTACCAGTATCACGGTAACGAGCGATGGTACGAGACACAAAGTATTTATTCACATTTAAATTCTGGAGTGCTCTAACGATAGCCACGTGTGGTTTTCCAGCCAAATATAAAGAAATCACACTATCACGCTTGAATTCCATCACGAATAATTTTTTTTCTGGAAAATTCTCATAAAAATGCTTTTGTACATTTGGAAACAATATAATTGGCTGCCACTGGAATAATTTTAACAGCTGTCGAACGAGTGGCTTAAGAATAACAGAAGTCTGAAGTTGGTTGTAATTTTTTCATCTCACCCTGTACATATATCCCGTTAAAGTGTGGTGCATTTTGTACCATTTACTTGAAATTTCCTTATGTCGGCTAACAAGGACCGCATTCAAAATTTCCAGATTCTTTTTTCACCGATTTGTTAAATACCATTTCGCAGCTTTTGCCAAATTTTGGTAACTATTTTATTTGCTATCATTAAATTTTCCAGAAAATATTTTACTGACGCTTTTCCTGAGGACTTTCTTTAATTTTCCATGTTTTTATTTTCAATTTGAAATTTATGTTATCTTCATTATTAACACGCCAATCATCAAGCTACGCACTACTACTTACCTGTGTGGTAAAGTGGGTGCCTTTGCGTGACCCCAACAATGAGCCACCAAATGAAGCTTCAATGGTATAGCTGTTCGTGATGCCCAGCATCCAGACCACAATGCGTCCGGTGCCCTCTTTGCTGCGTTGAATTTTAAATTTACAATTTTCAAATGAAAACTAAAGAAAGTTTGAAAAAAAAAATAAAAGAAAAAAGGAAAGGGAAATTGTTAAAACTTTAAGAGAAAATTACAACATCATATAATAATAAAAAAAATAAAACAAAACAAAAAAATGTTTCAAACTCCTTGGCTCTTGACTAATTATAAATGTTGGGAACGAAGGCAAAAAAAAAACATGGATTCAAAACAAAATCCAACAATTCCCATGCCACCCACTCAAGAGGAAATTTTAACAAAGTCATTCAAGAGATGAGAGGTGGCACATGAGGATAATTTGGACAAGTTTTTTTTTTCATACTGTCTTTTTTTGCCCTCTGTAACCTGTTCTGGCCCTTTTGCTTGCGATTGACTCACCTTATCTGCTACGTTTTTGTGCAACATAAGTGGAAAAACTTGTTCGGTAAGTTTCTTTTCCGGGTTGCGTTTATTCTCACAGCCATAAATGAAAATGTTGTGCCGGCGAGAGTGTGCGTGCATATCACAGTACATGGAAACACCACATTCATCAATCAGTCTGGGAGGAGACAAAGAGAGAGAGAGAGAAAGGCAGGGAGAGAAAAGAACACATTTTGGCCATGGGTAATGCCATGTTATTAAGTTGGCATTAACTGCAAGTCCTTTACCCTTTTGCCCGCCACCCAAAGTTCTTCTACTTACCTTTTAATTAAAGCTTTTGTATACCATATCGACGGATAGGTCTCACGTATTACCGTACGATATTGGCGATTTAGATCTTTTCCCGTCAGCGAGTTGCGTGAGTTGCCCACAATGACACCGTCCGGATTGAGCATCGGTATCAGTTTAAAGATGAATTTGTGCCGCAGGCGTTTGGCCACTGTCGAATCGCCCGTTATGAAATCCATCAGACCCTTCATCATCCACGAGGAGGGGGTTTCGCTTGGATGAACACGTGCCGAAATTACAATGGATTTTTTACGCTGCAATGGCATAAAAGGAAACAAATAACAACAACGTCAGCATCGTCAGGATTCTCTTTAATACTTTTTTTGTCTATGTCTGAGCGAGTTTTTTTGTGTGCGAGTTTTCCATATGAATGAATATGCTGTTATGTATTTGTATACGGGTCGTTGATTTTTCTATGCTTGCATAAATGTATGCATGTGAGTGTGTGTGTGTGTGCCTTTTATGCGTATGCAGTTTTGCTGACATAGTTCGTGTTTTTCTCTCTAACACGGAAACGGAAACAAAAAAACTGCAAAAAATAGCAAATCTCTTGAGGTTTTATAACTAAACTCGCTGGCCTAGTGTTTTTTCTATCACTTCTTGAATATGCGAGCCATCCGTGTTGCTCTGTCTGTTCCGACTTTTTTCTTCCTCTTCCATTTTTCACTTTTGTTCTAAAAAGGAAACTGTGGCAAACTCTCGTAGTTTGTGAAACAAAAAATAACTAAATGAGACGTTTCAATTGAATTTCGCAGCAGAATAGAACGAAAATTTAATTAGAAATATTTTAAATTTTAAAGTGAATTCATGGCTAAGGCAATTAGTGAAAGCTTTTTCAAAAAAATATATATATATTTGAATAAAAACTTTCGCTTCCTTGGAAAAACAGTTTAAGAAATTCCATATTGTCTGTCTGTTAGTCCTTGATAACGATTCCAAAAAAAAAAAAACTCAATCATAGGTCTTTTTGTCCTTCCTACGACATTCACAAATAAAAAAAAATATTCTATAAAAATACACGTATCGTCCTTGCAAAATATTCTTAACAAAACCACGTTTTATCTACCTGAAAGTCCTCAAAAAATATTCTAAACAAATCCAAGCATTATGGACCTGAAAGTCCTCAAAAAAAATTTTAACAAAACCACGTTTTGGACCTGAAAGTCCTTAAAAAGATAATCTAAAAAGTCCACGTGAAGTCTTTTAAAAATATTGTTAAAAAATCCAAGATTTAGTCTTTACATAAATATTCTTAACAAATCCACGTTTTATAAAACTGAAAGTCCTTAGAAAATATTCTATGAAAATCCAAGGTTTACGGACCTTAAAGTACTTAAAAATATTTAAACATCCACCATTTATGAAACTGAAAAATATTCTTTAAAAATCCAAGTTTTATGGACCTGAGTCCACCCCCAACAAAAATACCCACATTTAGTCCTTAAAAATATATTCTTTACCAAACCAAATTTTATGGACATGAAAGCCCTTGAAAAATATTTTTTTAAAAATTCGCGTTTTATTTTGACCTGAAAGTCCTTGAAAAATATTTTTTAAAAATTCGCGTTTTTTTGACCTGAAAGTCCTTGAAAATTATTCTTTTTAAATCTACGTTTGATGGGACTGCAAGTCCTTGTAAAAATATTCTTTAAAAATCCACGTTTGATGGGACTACAAGTCCTTGAAAAAATATTCTTTAAAAACCCACGTTTGATGGGACTGTCCTTGAAAAAATATTCTTTAAAAATCCACGTTTGATGGGACTGTCCTTGAAAAAATATTCTTTAAAAATCCACGATTGATGGAACTGCAAGTCCTTGAAAAAATAATCTTTAAAAATCCACGTTTGATGGGACTTCAAGTCCTTGAAAAAATATTTTTTGAAATCCAAGTTTAGTCCTTAAAAAAAAATCTTTAAAAATCCACGTTTGATGGGACTGCAAGTCCTTGAAAAAATATTCTTTAAAATCCAAGTTTAGTCCTTAAAAAAATAATCTTTAAAAATCCACGTTTGATGGGACTGCAAGTCCTTGAAAAAATATTTTTTAAAATCCAAGTTTAGTCCTTAAAAAAATTATCTTTAAAAATCCACGTTTGATGGAACTGCAAGTCCTTGAAAAAATATTCTTTAAAAATCCACGTTTGATGGGACTGCAAGTCCTTGAAGAAATATTCTTTAAAAATCCACATTTGATGGGACTGCAAGTCCTTGAAAAAATGTTCTTTAAAAATCCACGTTTGATGGGACTGCAAGTCCTTGAAGAAATATTCTTTAAAAATCCACATTTGATGGGACTGCAAGTCCTTGAAAAAATATTCTTTAAAAATCCACGTTTGATGGGACTGCAAGTCCTTGAAGAAATATTCTTTAAAAATCCACATTTGATGGGACTGCAAGTCCTTGAAAAAATATTCTTTAAAAATCCACGTTTGATGGGACTGCAAGTCCTTGAAGAAATATTCTTTAAAAATCCACATTTGATGGGACTGCAAGTCCTTGAAAAAACAATCTTTAAAAATCCACGTTTGATGGGACTGCAAGTCCTTGAAAAAATAATCTTTAAAAATCCACGTTTGATGGGACTACAAGTCCTTAAAAAAATAATCTTTAAAATCCACGTTTGATGGGACTGCAAGTCCTTGAAAAAATAATCTTTAAAAATCCACGTTTGATGGGACTGCAAGTCCTTGAAAAAATAATCTTTAAAAATCCACGTTTGATGGGACTGCAAGTCCTTGAAAAAATAATCTTTAAAAATCCACGTTTGATGGGACTGCAAGTCCTTGAAAAAATATTCTTCAAAAATCCACGTTTGATGGGACTGAAACTCCTTGGAAAATATTCTTTAAAATTCCACGTTTGATGGGACTGCAAGTCCTTGAAAAATATTCTTTAAAAATCCACGTTTGATGGGACTGCAAGTCCTTCAAAAATATTCTTTAAAAATCCACGTTTGATGGGACTGCAAGTCCTTGAAAAAATAATCTTTAAAAATCCACGTTTGATGGGACTACAAGTCCTTAAAAAAATAATCTTTAAAAATCCACGTTTGATGGGACTGCAAGTCCTTGAAAAAATAATCTTTAAAAATCCACGTTTGATGGGACTGCAAGTCCTTGAAAAAATAATCTTTAAAAATCCACGTTTGATGGGACTGCAAGTCCTTGAAAAAATAATCTTTAAAAATCCACGTTTGATGGGACTGCAAGTCCTTGAAAAAATATTCTTCAAAAATCCACGTTTGATGGGACTGAAACTCCTTGGAAAATATTCTTTAAAATTCCACGTTTGATGGGACTGCAAGTCCTTGAAAAATATTCTTTAAAAATCCACGTTTGATGGGACTGCAAGTCCTTCAAAAATATTCTTTAAAAATCCACGTTTAATGGCTCTGATAGTCCTTAAAAAATATTCTTTAAAAATCCACGTTTAATGGCTCTGATAGTCCTTGAAAAAATATTCTTTAAAAATCCACGTTTAATGGCTCTGATAGTCCTCGAAAAAATATTCCACGTTTGGTCCTTGAAAAAATATTCTTCAAAAATCATCGTTTGGTCCTCGAAAAAATAATCTTTAGTCTTTAGTCCTTGAAAAACACTCTTTAAAAATCCACGTTTAGTCCTTAAAAAATTAACTTTAAAAATCCACGTTAAGTCCTTAAAAAATATTCTTTAAAAATCCAGGTTTAGTCCTTGAAAAAATATTTTCTTTAAAAATCTACGTTTAGTCCTTGAAAAATAATCTTTAAAAATCCACGTTTATTCCTTGAAAAAATATTCGTTAAAAATCCACGTTTAAAAAGGAAAGGACCATTAAAATTAAAGTAAACATGGGAATTGGTCAAATAAAAATCTTTACAAAATCAAGTTTTATGCCTCCGATAATTTTCTGATTAAAGATTTAAAGCGGCCGCCTTTTCCCACTGCACCACTTCATTCAACAATAATTCGAAACTCATGGCTCAAAACAAGGAACAACCAGCCAACAAGTGTTACAACGTCAGTCAAACCAAGGAGGAGGTTAAATATGCTGACGTGATAACAAAAAGGATGCATTCATTACCACTGGCAACAAGCAAGCTCTCCCGTTCACTTCATATCCCTATCTCTCCTTGCATGAGAAAACACAATTCTTGATGCTATCAGGCGGAGGATGTCAAATTTCGTTGAATGCAAAAATGAAAAACTTTTGTTTTTCGCCCCATTGTTAAAACTTTTGCATCCTTTGTAGAACTTTCATCAGTCATGATTTCACATGAGATTTGCTTTTGCCGCTTTAAGTTCGTCTTAACAACGTAAGCCGTAAACTTTTCTCTCTTTGCCTTGAAAGAAAAAAAAAGTTTGGTGAAATGTTCATCAGAAATTTTCCAACATCACATTTAATGGAAAATTCTTGGGATGATTTGCCGTTGCGACGACTGCCAGTTGATTTTTCAATTTCAAAGTGAAAAGTGAACGGAAGCCACAGGAAATTTTTGGATGAAAACTTAAACCCAGGACTAATTGACTTTTGATCTTGGCCACAATGCCAACGACAACTACAACAACTATCAGACCTTGTGCGTATTCATTAGTTGTTGTTGGGAGATGACTTGCAATTTTCGAACCATTTATTGGCTTGTTAACACCAACTACTGTCTGAAAAGAAGGGCAGGGTGAGGTCGTCTTCTTTGGGGAATAAGTCGCCGTTGTGGCAATTATTGAAAGCAAAGAAGCCAGTCAAACGATTTGTGTAACTGATTGCCGAACAAGGCAATCAACATCTTGTCTCGGGCAAAGTGTTAAATACCCAAATGACTAATTAAATATTAATTACGCCCCACAAAATATATTTGCTTTCATATTTGTAGCACGAATGAAATGGCAGAAAGTTTGTCTGTCATTTGGTGAGCCTGACCAACAGCAAATGTCCCACGAGGGGTGTAGGAAAAAAACTATTTTTCCAAAACCTTTAAACGTGGAGTTTTGAGAAAAATATATTTTTAAGGATAAGAAGGACTTAAGATTTTTCAGGATTTTTAATCAGGTTCGTTAAACGTAGATTTTTAAGGCTATTTTTTCAAGGACTATCAGAGCCATTAAACGTGGATTTTTAAGGAATATTTTTTCAAGGACTATTAGAGCGATTAAACGTGGATTTTTAAAGAATATTTTTTCAAGGACTATTAGAGCCATTAAACGTGGATTTTTAAAGAATATTTTTTCAAGGACTATTAGAGCCGTTAAACGTGAATTTTTAAAGAATATTTTTTCA